GCCGCGAGGGGGGGGGGTGGGGGAGGAGACCAGGGGAAGGGGGGTGGAAGAGATCGGGGACAGGGGGGAATTGGCGGGCTAGGTGGCTGGCAGCTCTGCTCTGGGCACCAATGTAACAGTTTTCCCTGCATCTTCCTTGCCTCAGCCCTTCTCTGGCTACCATTATGTCCCCAGCTACCAGAGAGCTTTTTAAAAATTTGGGAATCAGTGTGTCACTATATCATTATTTATTTACTTCGTTTGTACTCCAACTTTCTCACTGATATTCAAGACATATTACAGAATTTTTAAAAATGGAAAAGACCAATATAATATAAACAAAGCAATAAAATGTGAATAAGACATTTGAAGATAGTTAAGAAATTTCCATTGGTCCAAAATGTGGCAGCTCAGGCTACTATCAGGGGTTAGTACAGAGATTATATCACCTCTCTGTTGAAAGATATGCACTGGCTACCCATCAGGTTCCAGGCACAAGTCAAAGTGCTGGTTCTTACCTTTAAAGCCATAAATGGCTTACGGATAGGGCCCCTGATAGACCATCTCCTCCCATGCTGTCCAGCCCACCAGTTAAAATCTGCCTCTCCAGCCCTGCGCTCTGGGCCCTGCCTTCAGGAGTGAAGCGAGTGATGACTAGAAATGGGGCATTTTCGATGGTGGCACTTTACCTTTGGAATGCCCTCCCCCTTGAGGCTTGCCTGGTACCTACTTTGCTTTCATTTAGGCACCAGGCTAAAACACATTTTTTAGCCAAGCTTTTAATTTGCAGTTTATTTTATAAGCTTTTAAATAATCTGCTCTATTCTATGTTTTTTTTTTACTGTTTACCTTTTTCACAGCTTTTAAAAAATGGCTTGTGTTATATATACTGTTTTATTCTAAATAGTATTTATTTTTATTTATTCAAAACATTTCTATACTGACACTGAGCCTGTTTTTGCATCAGTTGCATATTAACGGCGTATAAATGACATAAAAGCAAACATCAGATGCCGCAGAAATAGGCAGGATGAAAAGAGTATTTCTGACCATGCACATAAATTCAACAACAAAAACAAAATACATATTTGTACATCAGTAGATGAGATACCATTTTTTTAATATTTTCCCCTAGCGAATACTTACAGATGTAAATGACTGAGATGGTGGTCTTCTGCCAGTAGCTTTTGGTCTGGTAGTTGTTGGGTGGCTGAGCTTCTCGGCAACAGGTACTACAGAATCAAACCCTTCCAGGTCTTGAAGACATGGGGAGGGGGGGGGGGAATCAGAGTCAAAATCACTCAAAGTGGTAACAGATTATATAAAAAGACATTTCTATTTTAGATTTCTGAGTTCTCATACTGTAGAACCAAGGTTGATTTTATGCACTGACACACAGAGACTTATTGTGCTGGGTCTGGCCAGTCGCCAAGGAAAAACTTCACTGATACACAGTCCAAAGGCAACATAAGAACATAAGAGACGCCAATGTTGGATCAGGCCAAAGGCCCATCCAGTCCAACACTCTGTGTCACACAGTGGCCAGAAATACCAGGTGCCATCAGGAGGTCCACCAGTGGGGCGAGGACATTAGAAGCCCCCCAAGCACCAAGAAGACAGAGCATCACTTGCCCCAGAGCCCCTATCTATACCTTGTGGCTAATAGCCACTGATGGACCTCTGCTCCATATGCTTATCTAATTCCCTTTTGAAGCCGTCCATGCTTGTAGCCGCCACCACTTCCTGTGGCAGTGAATTCCATGTGTTAATCACTCTTTGGGTGAAGAAGTACTTCCTTTTATCCGTTCTAACCCGACCACTCAGCAATTTCATTGAGTGGCCGGCCACGAGTTCTTATATTGTGAGAAAGGGAGAAAAGTTTCGGGTTGCTCTTTTCTGCACTTTTTCCAAAGCTATAATATCCTTTTTAAGGTGTGGTGACCAGAATTGCACACAGTATTCCAGATGAGGTCGCACCATTGATTTATATAGCGGCATTATGATATTGGCTGATCTGTTTACAATACCCTTCCTAATAATCCCCAGCATAGCATTGGCCTTCTTTATTGCAGTCACACACTGTCTTGACATTTTCAGTGAGTTATCTACTACAACTCCAAGATCTCTCTCTTGATCAGTCTCTGCCAGTTCAGACCCCATCAATGTGTATTTATATTTAGGATTTTTGGCTCCCATGTGCATCACCTTGCACTTGGCCACACTGAACCCCATTTGCCATTTGCCATGTTGACGCCCACTTGCCCATCCTTGACAGATGCCTTTGGAGTGCCTCACAATCCTCACGGGTTTTTACCACCCTGAACAACTTCGTATCATCCGCAAATTTAGCCACTTCACTGCTTACTCCCAACTCCAAATCATTAATGAACAAGTTCAAAAGCAGTGGACCAAGTACTGCTGAGAAACAGTGCCAAGGGTCAGAATGCCGGAAAATCAGTCAGAGTTCTCAGGAGCAGAGGCTGGCAGCTGGGACAAGGTCCGAGATTGCATGGTTGCATCCGGACCGAGGCAGGTGAGTGTGGTTGCTTATACTCCGATCCTCCCTTCCCCTGGGAGACGACATGCAAAGATTCATGGCCTTTGCAATAGCTGAAGTCTGGCACTCCTCCATCTCTCCCGCACCTCCAGACGCTGGCGTGCCCTGCATCTGGGACATTCAGGTGAGCTAGGTGGGGACTCTGGCATCGAGGTGTCTCCAACTGGGGGTGCTGGGCCAGGCTCTTCCTCCAACTGCACCTCAGGCTCTTCGCCTTGCTGCACCTCAGATGCTGGAGCCTCTTCTCCCTCAGGTGTTGGCAAAGGTTCCTCTTCAGGGCTGACTCCGGAGAAGGCTGGGTTGCTCTGTGCCTCTTCCTCATCTGAGGAATAGTCAATCTTGGCTGAGCCATGACACCTATGGTCTTTATCTTTCTTCCCAGTTAAACCTTTAAAAGGTTGCTGCAATAATTGAGCACCCGGAAGGTTTATATCCAGCATGTATAAGAGATGAATGAATGACTATTCTAAGAGTATTTATTTATTTATTTATTTGTTTATATATTTATTTATACCCCGCCCTCCCCATTTCACAAGCAATAGTAACAAAGGGAGTTTCATACCACTGCAAATCAAAAGAAGAAACCACAGGAACAGCTCTTTTGTATTTTATTTTTAAAAGTATTTGCAGCATCACATTTGCAAATGCTATGCTTCTTCATAGCCAAGTATTCAGACAACTTGCTTCCCTTACTCCCCAAGCAATCGATCCCTTTGACTGATGAGTCTGCTTCTAATTCTGTCTCTAATCAGATTTATCTGGTACTTTTAAGTCCTGTAGGATAACATTTGCCCTTGTCACAGTGAAATGTTGCACATTCTGTCACTCAGTATTTGGCAGGGTATGAAGTTGCAAAACTATCCTTGTGGAGATAAGGTGATAATAGAGATAACATAATAATTTACCATATTGAGCTTGTGGTGCACACTAGCCTAATATCTATTATTATCTGATGCCTATCACCAGTGTATTAAATTAGGATATTTTTTATCAATAAACCAACAATATATGCTAAGGATGCTTCTGTGAAATTGTATTTTTATTCCTATGACTCACTCTTTTTACCAGTCAAATACTAATAAACTGGATAGTGTCCAACAACAAGATGATTATCATGTAAATGATTCTATGTACCAATATATCTTTATTCAAAATTCCTATTAATACTTTATTTGAGCAATACATAATCTGCTTTGGAAGATTGCAATCAAATTACATAAACAGGGACACAGCCAGGAACATAAATCTCACACTTAGGAAAAGGTTATAAGGTTCACATTTTGCTGTCAGTAAATGATGAGAGCATCTGAAGGTTAAATTGCCTAGTTTATCGATGTAGTTTTACATCAACCTCTTTCTAAATTACTACCTGACCTCTTCTGCAAACTTAATCTCTCTCTCTCTCTCTCTCTCTCTCTCTCACACGCTTATATTACAAATATACAGCTACCCAGCACTGCCTCCTCTACTAAAGCCATACTCAAAATGGTTTTTGAAAAAATGTAGGAATAGAATGGAGAGGGTCCCATTCATACATATTACCACAGTTTACAAGAGTAGTAAGGAAAGATGAAGTTCTTGAGAGGCAGGTGTTGCAGTTTCTTGTTCGGCTTAAAAGGGAGCCAGTATAGCTATAACCCGCTGGACCTTAAGTCTGGAATTCTGTACTGTTGGTCTGGGAACCTTTCACATGGAAAGTACGCCCATCACTGTACCTCCATACTTCAGCTCAAAACTTGCTTCTTCCATAACACTTCAGACTAACCTCAGGATCTCCATATCCAACTGAAAAGAACCTTAAATATGAGCAGCACATCCACCCCATGAGTAGGATTTCAAAGCATCTCCAAGCACAGCAAGATTTGCCTGCCTTCTTTCCTCTTGCTGCAGCCTGCTGTTCCCCCTTAAATGCTGTTTCAGGGACTCTCAGGAACAGTGTGGGTGGCTGATGGAAAAGGAGAATAAGCAAAAATCATCCTTCCTTTCTCTACCAACAAATGTTCAGTTCCACTGGTGAGAATTCTATTCTGCCAGAAGAGCAGCACCTTCGGATCCAGTCCCTTGTTACCCTGTGCCTCACTTTCCCTTGTCTCCTTTTGTTTCTCCCCAACTAAATCTAGATTGGAACATCTAGGGCTGCCAAGTGGGGGCGGGTAAACCCCCGCTTTGGAGGCCCGATTTCCTCCGCCGCCGTGGAATTGGGCCCCGGGGGGAACCCCACCCCGGCGTGCGCGTCACCAGGAAGTGACGTTATAACGCCGGGCACGCTGGGGGTGGGGCCACGACCATCCGAGGGGAAACCCTATGGTTTCCCCTCGAATGGTCGTGGCCCCGCCCCCAGCGTAACCGGCATCATAACGTCACTTCCTGGTGATGTGCGTGCGGCGCGTGCTTTGCGCGCACTCTGGGATCCACCCAGGAGTCCCCCGCTGCGGAGGTAAGCTATACTTGGCAACCCTAGGAACATCTCTTTTCTCCTATCCAATGGTAATATATAAAATTATAGAAATAATTTCTTACCCTACCATACTCAACTGGATATCTCACTTCGAATGGAATTCTGTTAGTTGCAAATCCCTTTCAAGCCATGAAAGTCACCACAGATTAGAAAAACTTGCACTCTTGATTTAGAGGAGACAAGTGATAGCCTTTATTGATTAAATTGATGTAAAAGATATAGACTGAAAATTAGCCTGTGGGATGTCAGTGATTTTAATGATGCGAAATTTTGTGTGTTTATATTGTGCTATCGTTTCTTAAACCATGTATAGGTATTAAAATAAAAAAACACTAATTGAAATTGGAAATCAGAATTTTTTGTATTAAGAAGAAAGTCTCCATTCAATCTAAACACCATTGATCGAAATAATGATAATCTATCACTATAATAGTCAACAATACTGAGTGGAATGGTGAAGGGGAGAATGACAGATATTTCCTTGTCTTCACAAGGATGACAGTGTCCAGCATGGGTCTAATCTCTCAGAAACAAGTCATACCTACAATCCTAAACAAGTTACACCTTTCTATACTCTTTCAAGGGTATTACTCTGTTTAGGATCACATCCATGGCTACCTTTATCTTTTAACATATCCCATGATATACCATAATAAGAATCTCAGAATTACTTATAATATTTAGTATTAAAATAAAAACTACACATTGACAAGGAATTCTGAAAAAGAGAGGCTACATCCTGTGGACAGGTTTCTATCAAGTCTCTGAAAGTGCCAGAAAATAATTTACAAATAGTAAAAATCAGCCACAGAATATGCTGCTTTCAGAAAAGTTTAATTCATACAGTAGTAGTATGTTTATTCCATTTTCTTAAGGCTGAAAAATTATAGTATAGAAGTTATGCTTCAAGGCATCTGGGTTAGTTAATAGATGTGGTTTAACAAACCTGGGTAATTCTATTAAATTGGTAAAGATGGCTTGTAGATTTCTATGAGACAGACCATTTTCAAAATGTATGTTCGCCCATGAAATTCTAACTCACATTTCACAACTGTTCACTTAGGAAACCAATCAGCGCAACCTTACCCCTTTATCTTCCATTATTTCCTTATTTTAGGTAGACATTGTTTCTTTCCTGCACCCTACTCAACCATCCTCTGCAAAAAAAGTTTCTTCTGACACACAGACTTTTTGAGTAATGGCTTGACACTTCTTTATCAAAACTCTGCACCCTTCTTTGTAGACTGAGACGCATCTAAAATTGGTCATATGTCAAACTAAAATTACAGAAAAAGAGATTATACTGGTCTCATGTTGCTCAAGAGGAAAAAAGGAACTAGTTTAAAGTAATGGGCCGGATCCTATGGATTTTAAACTCGTAATCTGCACAATAGTGTTCCAAGAAGCGCATTTGGCTCATGATGAACAGTGACTTTCTTGTTCTTTCCTATGAGCATAACACTTCAAGACCACTTCTCTAGGAATCCCTGTGTCTGCATACACAAAACTATTTCTAAGAAAATAACAGGAAGCTCCTCATTTGCAATGCTTTGGGTTATGTGTTATTTTGGTCCAAAGTTCATGCATTTAATTTACACTAAAGCATGAGGTTTTTGATTTAACTTGTAATGATGGTCTAAAATTATTTATTAGAACTTTAGGACAGCAACTCTTTGCACTGTAATGATTAACTTGTGTGCACCATGGATGTGCATGAATCAGTGCAACGTTTTTAGAGCCACTAAATTAACTATCATATAACACCTTGTAGTCTACTAATAACTGTACCTGCAACATCAGAACAAAACAGGATGTCAAGAGAATGATACTATACATGCTGCTCATTCTCAGGCAAAAAAAATGGCAGGACAGACAGAAGGTGGAAAACAGCCTTACCATCATCAAGTGAAGAAGAGTTACCCATGGTAAAAGGATGTAAATGGGGAAAGCTTGAAGAAATATGAGTAGAAAGGAAAAGAAAGGCATCACTGGAAATGTAGAAAAAGAAGAGAAAAGAAAACAAGGTGTGAGGAGGAAAGGGGAATAGGTTTGCTCTAGACACTTAACAATAAGACTAACAACAACTTTTTGTGAGAAAGACACGGGACCACAATTCTGTGGCAAGTCTAAGAACATAAATGCCTTATGTGCAGATAATCAAATTTGAAAACAATAAACACAAAATTAAATATCGCTCCTTTATTAAATATAAATATAGAGATATAAATATCCTAAATCTCCATGCCAAGAAAATTACATCCATCTCCGAGTCATGTTAACACACACTGATGTCAAATTTGCAGTCAGCATCTCGTCATGGTAAACCCAGACGGGACTAAGGCTCATGTATTTCCATTTCACACAGCATTAAACACAACTCATTCCCGACTGTAGCCAGCATTCTACAAATCCAGCAATGCTCTTTCAAGGGTTATATATACTACAACTGTGTGAGGCTTGATTTGTGCAAGTGTATTTTATAAAGCACGCTTGCTAAACAAAGTATATCTGGACCATACCATCAAATCAGTCTATAAAGACTACAGCTGAAGCCTACCCTCTGTTGATTTACATCACCATGTAAGAGACCGTTTTGACAATATTTCTTGCCTTGCATGCATTTCACTTCAATTTCACCTGCCCTCATTCTGCCCTCAATCCATTTATGAATATAGATCTTTCTGAAGTATTTCTCCATTCTCTCCCATTTTCATTTGCAGTGTAACATTACAAACAACAAAAAATGTAATCCACTCACTCTCTCTCCACTTTCAAAATCATTAAGAAACCCATTAAAGGCCCCAAACAATTCAGTTTCTTGTATGATTAATACTGTGTAATACTGTAATATTTTAGGTTTTATTTAATTTTGTATCTTTCTATTTATCGTTTTTTAAAAAATTCTTATGAAAATGCAAGTGGCCTACCACATGCTCTACAATGGAGTATTCCTGGTTTCTTTTCCTTTTCTAAAAACAAATTAGGGAGTCCTGATTTCCTGTTGATTTACAAATTAGGGAATTGTGATTTGCTGCTGCATCCTCATTTATGCTTCCAAAACACACAGCAATCCTATGATTTATTGCTATTAAGTTATTATAATTTTCACACAGCCTTTTACTCAATGCTAAAATCTACCTATCATTACTTGCTAACTCTAAGAATTTTGTAAGATATGAAATTATTAATAGCATGACTCATAATTATAATAAAGCCTTTACACTCAAAAACACACTGCATCATGATTGCTACTTTAATGAGGAAACATAATAAATATACCCATTTAAGTATTCAGGCCGCTTATTTGTAGTTTATTAATTTTTACAAGCACATTGTACTGCTTCTATGTGAGTCTGCCTGAAAAGCAATGTTTATGAACTTAACAACTGCCTCACTATTAGAGATTCTACGTAGCAGGGGGGAACCCACATGAAACAGACACAAAATCTGAGAGCAAATCACCACCTGATTCTAAACATACTAATTTTGAATTAAGTCCTGCAGAGCTCAGTGGACTTAGTTCCAAGTGAGTATGCTGAGGACTGCAGCCTAATTATTAGAAACCTTAGTTTTAAATGTTAGCACAACAGTTGCAAATAAATGCAAAACTGCCAAGCGTGGAGAAAAGGAAGGTTAGTTAATTGCAGCATAACATTCTATCAACATGTGCTCCATGAAGAAACCACAACATAAAAATAACAGTGCATGCCACCAATGAGATGTAGTAATGCTTACAATTTAGGATACAAAGAGTCTGCCTCTTACAAAAACATGTCTGCTGCAGCACAGTTGTTATTGAACTGAGTGACTGAAGCAGATGACATTGAAATATTTCCATCTGCAAATGACACTGTCTGGATTTGCTTTCAGATATATGACCATGGTCAGAACACCTCGTTTCCCACCTCTAGTCAGAAGTCCACTACACCAGCAACTTGGAACATAGCTCTAAAGGATGGTAAACTCATGAAGGTGAAAAAAATCAGACTGCATCTTTAGTCCTCAAAGTTTAACTTGAAGTGATTCAGGACATCTGATCAGCTGCTTAGCTACTACAGAGATCAACAATTCCTTGTAAAAATGGCAGGAACTACTTCAGGTAATATATATTTTTTAAATCCTTGCTTTTTTAAAAAAAACTAAATACAAACTATCTGCAATTGCACAAAATATGAATCTTTAAGATCAACACTTTTGTATCTAGTTTTTTCAATATTTACAAAAAAACCAATACCCCATAAAATAACAGCTAATTAAAATGTTATCACAAAATGTATGATTGTATTAATAATGCAGAAGTGCATATGCAGCTGGAAACTTGATAACAAGATGACTTTATTAGGTAGGTTATTAAAAAAACACCTCAACTTACCAATGTCATTGCTTCTTTCTGTGGCGTTTTTCTCTAAGGTGCTGGATAGTGTACAACCCACTATATCTACTTTTGGAATATCACTCCTGTATTTTGAAACAAAAGTGACATTTACTAGAATTGCCTGCTAACAGGACATTTTTAACTTGCATCTAACTAACAGGGGAAAGAAGCATTTCTCTTACACAGCTCCTGGGTCACAGCAAGCTGTCAGCGAAAGTCATCTCTCGTAAACCAACATGCTGCTTGGATTAACCTTATCTTGTTTCTCTTTAACACCTGTCAAATGGGCCTATTTTAGACACACCAGAGTCCTAAACAATTTCTCAAATGCTATCAGCATCTTGAAATGAAAAAGTCAAAAAGCAACCCACCCCAGTAATATTTTCAAATAATTTTTTGCCCCCCCACCAATCATGAAAACAAATGGCATAGCTGTGCAGACTCATTAACAGGTACAGAGAAAATTTCACGTTGCGAAGATGGGAGTAAGATTTCCCCAGTTTTCAGCTGCTGGCTGAAGCTCTTGATTACGATTGGTCTCCCTTGTCATTCACTGCTGACATCACATGAACATAAGAATAGCTAACTGCAGTCTGCATCAGCCAAATGGTCCACCTAGCTGCTGAGCATCCTGTTTTTAACAGTGGCCAGTCACATGCTCAGGGTACTCTGGCAACAGCCTTCACTTGCTAATTTGACAATCAGAGGTATGGTGCCTTTGAACATCGACATCCTATTCGGCTATCATGTTCAGTAGCCAGCAATAGACCTACCCTCCATAAATTCACACAGCCCTCTTTTAAATCTCAGTCAGTGGCTATCACCACATTTTATGGCAATGAGTTCCATGGGTCAGCTACTCATTTTGTGAAGTACCTTGTGTCTGTCTTGAATTAACAATTCGTTTCATAGGTTCTAGTACTATGGGAGAGAAGCTTCTTGTTATTTTTTTACTTATCTCATTTGTACCCACCATTCTTCTCAGTGGGAACCCAAAGCTTCATTTTACGCTTATCTCAATCTGATGGCTGACATAGGGGCATGCAATTTTTCTCTCTCTGTATTTTTCAGTTTGGGTCTATTGTACCTGAAAAAAATTTAACGATTCCCTCCCCCCCAAAAAACAACAGATCCCAATACCTGAAAAGTATTCGGATCTAGGGTTTTGTGGAACCGATTTTTTTCGGGTCCAGTAGACCAGAAGTGAAAGACACCGAGGGGGGGAGGGGAAGCAACGACAAAGCCACTAAAAACAGCTGAGGCTCTTGGGGGAGTTCCCTTTAAACTGGATTGCCCAAAAGAACTCACCAAGCAGCTAATCCGTCTTAGAGTGGACGGCCCAACAGAGCCCGCCCAGGAGCCGATCCTGCAAGGACAATTCTCCCCACAGGCTCTGCTGGGCAGCCCAGTTAAGAGTGGACTACCCAACAGAGCCCACCCAGGAGCCAATCCTGCGGAGAGAACCCTCCCCACAGGCTCTGCTGGGGAGCCCAGTTTAGAGTGGAATGCCCAACAGAGCCTGCCCAGGAGCCGATCCTGTAATTTCTGAATATATCCCAGATTTTTTTCAGGGATATTTTTCCTGTTCTCCCAGAAAATCCTGGATGCATTTGGGAAGCTGAGATATACCCTAAAAATACTAATAAGATTTCTTTCGGGTACCTTTTCAGTTTGGGTAAATGCAAATGCACACCTAGGCTGACAGTGCATGACTGGCCCAAGGACCCCCAGAAACATTCCATATCAGATGGGAATTTGAACCTGAGCCTTCCAAATCTTAGTCCAGCACTCTAACCACTACAGTACCCTGTTTTTATCCACTTTTCCCACACAAAGCATATTTTTGTAGGTCTCTATCATGACACCTTTCAATCATTTTTTCCCTAAGCTAAAAAGTTCCAAATGCTTTAAGGCTTGCCTCATATGGAAGGTACTCATACTCCCATGATTATTTTGGTTGCTCTTTTCAGCCCTTCAGTATCCTTTCTAAGATGCAGAGAGCAGAACAGTACACAGTATTCCAAGCCAACTCCCTGGTTCTTTTTTTCCACAATAGATTTTAAAATAGTAACAGGACTTCTGTTCACCCACCCCAGGCTCTTTATTTAAGGTTGCAATCCCACATATACTTACACTTCAAAAGGGATTTAAGCAATAACTATGTAAACAATTGCACCCTAAGAACTGAAAAATTTCTTCACCCACATGGTCATTACTCCTACCAGGAAGTGCTGGAAGAACCAATACCTTGTATGGGTCATAGGCACAATTGGTCTTTCTGGTCTCCTCGGAGGCAATGTACCAGGCCTGTTCAAAGAGTTTGTTTTCGGTGGTCGAGGTTTCTTCGGTGGTATTGCAGGAACAGAAGGCTTCTGTAAATCTAACAGTTTTTGATCTCTCTCTGGTCTTTCTTTAAATCAATTTCCCCAAAAAAGAATAAAGGCATTATTAAGTAGAACTCCCAAACACACCAAACTCTATAACCTTGAGAAGTGATAATTACTGGCAATGAACAATCTTGTATAACTCACCACTCCTTACTGTGACAATAACAATGGCATGTATCCTACCTTAGGCTGGAGGAGGAATATTTTTTTACATGTATACTACCTTGGTCCAGCCTAAGGAGCAGGATATATGCCAGTATAGATGCACTAACTGCTTTAAGGTTATGCAGAAACTCTCTCAGACCTAATCAAACTAAATTTTTGTTCACCATTATTATTATTTTTTCTAAAAACAAATCAATTATTTATACTCATACTCAAACATTTCTCTATCCAACAACAATAGACGGCCTTATTGTCCAGATCCAAAATCTTGCAAAGGAAGGCCACCCAAGAGTGGGGTAAATCTTTCTGCAGACTTGGGATTTTCATAGCGCTATGAAAACTTTTTTAAAATTGGGAAGGGGGGACTAAAAGCAACCCAAAGCAAAAGTCCATGAGTGTGCATGTGCAGAAATCACAGGGAAAAGACCCCCAATGATCAGATAGCATTTTTTTACTGTTGTAGAAACTAGGGTTTCCAACCTCCAAGTGAGGCCTGGAGGTCTCCTGGCATTATAACTGATCTTCAGGTGACAGAGATCAGTTCCCGTGGTGAAAATGGCTGCTTTGAAGGGTGGACTATATGTTATCACATCCCTGCTGAGGTCCGTCCCCTCCCTAAACTCTGCGCTCTCTAGTCTCTGCCCCCAATTCTCCAGGAATTTCCCAACCCAGAGTTGGCAACCCCAGTAGAAGCTCAAAATGGCACATGATGATCCATGCCCCCAACCAGGAAATAAGAGGAACCGAACTGGGGGAGAGGTTGTGTGTGGGGGTTCCCCCCTACCACGACAAAGGAACCAGGTGACTGATTTACATTTGGAAAAGGAGCTGAGGAAAAAGATTTAAAACCCCTTTGACCTGCAACATGGTGCCAGTAGAAATCTGCTTCCTTCCTGCCCTAGGCAGTTACTATTCAGAGGATGTTTTATCTTGGATCTTTAACATATTATATAGTTTGTCACCTAGCAAGGGCTTCTATACTCTGCCTCTTGCAAGAAAACAAAAAGTGCATCCTCTTCCTGTCCTCTCAGTCTAGCAGGGGAAAGAAAAGAAGCATGCACGCCTATGAGCATGCCTGGCTTCATGAATGCTACCAGGCCTTGTGTCTTCTGTATTTAGGACAGTCAGATATTTGGAACAGTTTTTCCACCCCTCTTCCAGAAGAAAAAAAAGACAGGTGAGGGCACCTACCAGAAATATTCCATTCTGAATGGCTGTGCCTTGATGTTAATCTCAGGGCTATGGTTACACATGACACAGTTTACAGGTCTACCCCAGGACCTCTCAGGCCAAACGCATGCTGGAACTGTTTGGAGTTTCCAGCAATTTTTGAAACTTCCTTTTCAGGCATTTGGGAGACCAGATCAGAACTACGACGTGTGAGAAAAAAGAGTCCCCCCCCCACACACACACTGTTTTCCCAGGGAGCGGCTATTTGTTGTATGTGTATATTTCCCCAAAAGGACAAAGTTTCAACACAAAACTACTAGCTCATACCTGGTTTGTCAGGAAAGACCTATAAACAGAACTCTTTAAATTCAGGTTGTCCATGAGGAAGAGTGAGCACAAAAACCAAGGATTCCCTTTGGTTTATTTAAGAAGTGAGGCACAGGGTGAAGATTATGGCTGAAACAATATTTGAAAAAGCTTCTTTACAGCTCACCCATGTAGTGCTCTGTTAGTAGCACTAAAACACAAGGGAGGTTTTCTTTATTCCTGTTTCTGAAAATTGTAACAGAACCTCTACCAATATGCAGTATAGGTGCTTTTTACATGAAATTAAGAGATGAAATAACACAGATATGGATTAGAAAGACATAAAAATATACTTAATCTGGCCACTCTGCTAATGGCTTAGAAAATATGGATTGAAACACACTTTTCCACTTTTAATTTCCTACCTTTTTCTTCTGTTCGATGAGGAAGACATTCTGGTCTTTCAGGAGGTACCTTTTTGATTTCATGCTTTCTATCTGTGGTAGCTGTCAAGAATCAAAATTCAGTTGTTAAGAAAAAGGTAAAACACACACACACATACACATTAGCACTCTGGGTTGGATCCTATCTATGAATCTGTTCTGATAAGGGCAGTCTTCCTGTAGCACAAAGAGTTTTACCTCTGGTGTCATCAGAGCAAGGTATCTTGTGCCAGAGATTATATTAGTGGAGATGATGTCATGTATCCTAACACTCTGCTCAGCAATATGTGAAGTCCTGTACCATCCCAAGGAGGCTTTCTCCAACTCAAGTGGCTCTTCTGCCAGAAAAAAATGCTCCTAAGGCAGAAAAAGGACTTCAAACATTGCTGAATGGAGTGCTAGGATGCCTTCCAGTAGCTTGTAAAGAACATGTTAATTCAAACTGGATATGTATTTTCCCCAGAAAGCTCTTAGGTGAACAAAATACAAATAGCGGACTAGTACATATACTGTGGTGCTTCCATTTTATCTGGTGAACCTGATACACCTGGAAAAGGTTTATTCTTTTGATATGCTACTAGAGTCTTCTGGGTTTTTTTTTTACTGCAAGACTACATTGTAGCAGCAGAGACTGACCATTATGCTGACTTTCATTCCCTCTCCCCATCTTCATTCTGCTTTAAAGGACCCATGGTCCTTAAAGGACAAGGAGAGAGTGCTACAGTTGTGTCGAGGGTGCTCTCATGAAACTATCTTTGCACTGTACAAGGTGCTAGTCAGGTGTTGCTCTCCTGAAGGTAATTGCTTATTACCTGGGCAAGCAGTACACAGAGGGTTTTTCTTTAGAAAATAAAACTGTGTTTATTCACCATTACTGTATAGTTTGCTAGTTCCGGCAAGAGAAATCAGTGCATTATCCTAATGAAACATTAGTGGCTTTAATTTTAACTCTGAATATAATTTGCAAGAGGTATAAGCTTTTGTATCACATGAAAGCTTATTCCTTCGCCTGCTGCTTTAGACCAACATGGCTACCCACCTGAATCTATCATTTGAAAGTTAGTGTTTTTCTGTAACAACCACTAGATGGCAAGGCTATATTGTTGCTCATAAACAATTTTGAGAGATTTTTGGATAAACAATAATCTATGTCATAAAATCAAAGGTATTCTATGTTGCTGGATGCCAAAAGGAAAGCGTAAAAAACTACAGTGAACGGAAGTATAACACCTGCATGAAGACATAGATCAACCCTCCCTGCCTAATTTAATTCGGGGAAATGTAACAAATGCCAGTATCTCATCTAACTGTACTGGAGCTTGATTTCTTCACAATTTCCCTCACAATTTCTTAGTGACATGAGCAATTCTGAAAGTGCTAGAGTAATCTATTACAAGTATAAAGTACCCACAGTTTAACAATTCTTAAATGGCATGGTGGATAGTGATACTGACAGTCTACATGAAGAGACAGAAAAATGGTTTGACTGTCTATAAGCTATATTTACTGATGTTTACCATATGACAGCAGTGTATTACCTAATCCTTGTTTGATGGCAGGAGCCGTTGGAGGTGGTGGTTTCTTAGGTCGCTGAAGCAAAAGGAAGTAACCACAAGATTACTACCAAGAATTTATGCTGATTTATTTTATACTTACTTGAAGAGGAAAACAAATCCTGTAAAGCTTTTACTAATGTAGTAAGTACAGTTTTAAAGATAAGATAAACACCACAGAAAACCATGATTACCAATTCAATAATCAATATGATTGTTTCCTAAAGATAAAGAAAATGAAAAGCTCCAGCCAACATGACCCTCGTGTACCAGACAGCATACTGAATGAACATCCAAAGCTATTTTGGAAAATACATAGGCATTAAAGAAAGAAATTTCACAGATTCAACCAGATTAGTAAACAAGGATCATAGAAAATTCTCTCCTGATGGTATGTTTTTATTGCTGCTGTACGTCTGTTTTCCCATCTGTGGGAGACACTGTAAAACACCAGTGCAGGCTCTGCAAGCCTGATGGAATGAAACAAAACTCTATCAATAGATTACTATTTGCCATTATTTAACCAATCACAATTTAAAAAGGTCTTCAGTACAATGGCTACTGAACATACCTCATGAACCCCTTCCAGATTTCAATTCCTTACCCTAAGAGCTCAAGGTGGCTCTTAAACATAGAGAAAGTCAGACGCACGCAACTGACATAGGCTATAAAATGTTAATAGCACATCAGCCTCAAGTAGAGGGTGTTATTATAAAAGGTTAAAGTGCTTGGAATTTATAGGATTATGAAGCACAAGAATTTATCATAGACTTTTGGGGTTCTAATTATTGAGGAAATCCATAATATAATGGGATACTCATTACTATTTAGTGCTAAAGTAATAATGTTATATTATTCGGAAGAGACATGAGCAGAAACAGATTTGGAAATGGTTCTTGTACTTTTAACAACAGCCACAATATGTATAGTAGTGGGATTGGAAAACCACCCTGATTGTCAAATATGAAGGGATGGCGCCTGAGAATATGGAATGTATTATTAATGATAAAATCAACATATAGGAGATTTCAAAAGCTAGCCTTCCCTGACAAATTTTAAGAGAAATTGTTATGTATTAACAGCATAACATGAATCGCTCAATATACTTCCCATGTTGAGCTTCGAGCCGGCCAAGGCTCCGTCAGTACGAACATTCAAAACAGCGACCAATCAAAGAAGAGCTATTCCCTGAGCGGGAAGGACACTGATTCGCCCTTATCTATGCAATCTGATTGGTTGTTATGTAAATAGTAGGCGTGGCTATATTAGCCCGGTATGTTTAAAAGGAGCCCAGCTCCAATGTTAAGTTGTTCTGATTCCTGAATGCGTTTGTGTGCTTGTTCGAATAAAGCTGAATCACTTGCTGAAATCACTCTACGGGTCTTTGTTAGTGCGATCTAACAATTGGCGACGAAGGTGGGATGTTAAAGCAGGTAGGCAGTCCTGCAGACATTCCCACACAGACCCAGAACGAAGCGAGCAAAGCACAGCAGCCGATCTAGCGGAGGCGCCATCAGACCCGGTGCCCAAGTCTCCCCCGATGGCTGGGAATCAGAAGTTCGAGGCATTCGAACCATCGTCCGAAGATTGGGACTCGTACCTCGCCAGGTTCGAGTTCCATTTGGAGACACACGACATCACCGAGGAGACAAAGAAGCGAGCATGCCTCCTGAGTTCGTGTGGAAAGGACACCTTCGACATTGCGAGGTCGTTGGTGGCCCCGACCGAGGTGAAGACCGTCTCCTTTGCGGACATCACGAAGAAACTGAAGGCTCACTTCTCACCGCAACCTTCAGAAATTGCCTGCAGGCATGCCTTTTACAAAAGAAACCAAGCGGCAAATGAGACCATCGCAGACTTTGTGGCGGCCCTTCGAAAGGCAGCGAGGCCGTGCAATTTTGCGGATGTGGA